AGAAATGCAGTAACCGCATCCATCTGATCTATTTTTAGCCCATTTTTAACAGCCAACGCAACCAAAAAACGTAGTAGCGTACAACTGGAGAGTATGTTTCATTGTAGTCCATTCCATGAATTTGGCTACAGCCCTTAGCAACTAAACGAGCTTTATGCTTAATAACATTGTTATCCATATCACGTTTAGTAGTGAACACCCATTTCGTTTTCAAAGCTTTAGGCCCCGCTGGCAATTGCATTAATATCCATGTGTTATTTTCTTTTAATGAATCCATTTCGCTCTCCATCGCAAACTTCCATTCTTCAGAATCATTTCGCCTTATAGTTTCTTCAAATGTAATTGGATCAACATCTTCGTTAATACACGTTAAATAACTCACAAACCCATCCCGTTGAATTGGTTTCGGTACTCTGGCCGTCCGTCTTGGTGTTTGACGATTATCAATTTCTACAGTTTCTTCAGGCAAGTATGTTGGATCTGTGAACGTAAGGTCATCAGTCGATTGAAACGAACCGTTTTTATCATCACCTTTCACCGATCTTTTATTATCTTCTGAGAGCTCATCTTTCACGATAGTTATTGTTGTTTTTGGGGAATCTACTACACCCCGCGGGTCCCTCACTTGATCTGGAAACTCTACATCCACGTCAATTTCCATAATCGATGCGTTGGCTTTTTCGTGGAATATCACATCGCGGCTCACTACTAAGCTTTTTGTGTACAGATCGATGCAACGAATACCCTTTTTATTCGAGTCGTATCCTACGAAAATAATTTTTCTAGCTTTTCGGTCCAACTTTTTGCGACGCTGTTTGGGAATGTGCACCATTACTGGGGATCCAAATATTCGTAAATGTGAAACATCAACCTTAGAGGCTGTCCACATTTCCTCCGGTGTCTTATCTTTCAACCCTGAGCAAACTGAACGATTTATTAAATACGACGCCATGTTGACGGCTTCAGCCCAGTAACCATCATCAAGCTCAGCATCAAATAACAGACATTTGGCACGTTCGATTATGGTTCGGTTCATACGTTCTGCGGTGCCATTTTGCTCCGGCGTATATACATTTGTTAGCTGATGTTGAATACCATTGGAGCAAAGAAATGTGTTGAATTGATTTGAACAATACTCAGTTCCGTTGTCAGTGCGAAGGACTTTAATCTTTTTGCCAGTTTGGTTTTCAACAAATGCTTTAAACTCAATAAATGTGCTCAAAACGCCAGATTTTTCTATTAAGAAATAAACAAAAATTCTCTTTGAAAAATCATCAATGGAAGTTAACAGGTACCTTGCACCACCAATTGATCGGGTTTCCATTGGTCCAACCAAATCAGAATGTATTAATTCTAGTAACTCGCTTGTGTGGCTTTTGCTTAGCTTAAATGGCGCTCGTGATAACTTGCCCTCGGCACATACTACGCAGTTTGGTAATCCTATTTTTTTATTTGCAAATTTCATTCCGGTCACCGCCCCATCACGCATTTTACATAAACTTCCGTAGTTAAGATGACCAAATCTTCGATGCCATGTAATTGCGTCATTTTCTTCTTTGCAAGATAACATGCACGCTTCACCGGCTGTTTTTAATTTGTGAACTCCACCTTCTGGCTTGCAATGTGCAAATTCAACCAAATTTTGATCATAAATATAGCATCCGTTTTTGTTAAAAACAATCGTATTCCCTTTTTGAACAGTTTTGAATACTGATAATAAATTTGCCGACAATTCAGGCACGTGCAAAATATTCGAAATGGATACTTCGTCATTACGCAACAACAATTTCGATTTGCCTTCGCAATTCACTTTCATTTTTTCATCATTCGCAGCAGAAATTTCCTTAACATTCGACGAAGTGCAATCAAACAGTAAATTTAGATTTGGTGTCATATGAGTCGATGCCCCACTATCTATATACCAATCGCAAATATCGTATTTTGTTGAAAATTTCACTGTAAATGCCTTTTTTGCAATTTCAGTGTTGTTGTTCATTGTTTTAGTTTGCCCCTTTTGCTCCTTCTTCTTACATTCAGAGCTAATGTGACCCCTGCCACCACAAGAGTAACATTCATTATTTGATTTTTTGCTGTTTTGCCTAAACGAATGTTTGCCAATAAACGCATTGTTGTTGGTTTTACCCTCACGTGAATACTGCGTGTCTAACAATTTCATTTTAGCAGCATTTATTTTGTCACATGCTTCGAAACTCAAAATAAGTGGTTTGTATTCCTCTGCCAATCCTGCAAGCATAATTGCAGCCAACCACTCGTCGTCGATGCTAAAACCAATACAATTTAATTTACTCGCCGTTGTCATTATTTGATCGATATAAATCTGCTTGTTTTCACATTCCTCTAAACGAATTGAGATCAAAGTGCGCAACAAACCAATTTTCCGCATTAGTCCACGATCTTCGTATATGTTCTGGAACTTTGTCCATATCTCCAACGCCGTTTTGCATGTTCTAATATGCACAAATAGCTCTGACTCCACACTTAGTGCCAATAACGTTTTCGCAGAACTTAATTTGTCGGCCTCCTTTGCCTTCCACATTCTTGGATCTTCCTTTGATGGAACGATGCAGTAACTTAATTTCTTTAACTCCAAGAAATTCTCCATTGCAAACGTCCAATTGTGAAAATTCTCACCGCCTTTTAACTTTTCAACCGCAAAGTCTGCTTTCGTTGAATTCGCCATTTTGAAGAATTATTAATTGCTAGAGGCAAAAGAAAAATTAATTAACGAGGTGGGCTGGGCCCATAACCTGTTGATATAAAAAACACGTGCGATCGTTTTTTGTGCAAAAGAAGAAGTGACATTTTATATTTCCTTTAAGCAAAGAGAGTATACATTTGACAGCTGTTAGTCGTAAAGAGTATTTACATATATGCCAGCTAAGGCCTTATTCACAATAAGGTTTAAGGGTATAATAATCTCCATGCTTATACATTATATCTGCAATGCGGTTTCCTGGGAAGATAGATCCGCTAGTACTTCTTCAGAAGTTGCTAATCTGTTTGCAGAGTTTTTTAATTCAAACTTCGTTTGTGATGATCATGACTCCAATTCCTACTTCTCCTTGAAAGATAACTCACCTATGAACTTCGGCCTTTTGAGTCTGTCGTTAGAAGACGTTGAGGATGGTATCAAAGATCTTAAACCGTCTACTAAGATGGATATAGATGGTATCTCCACTATCCTTCTTTTAAAATATCCTGCGCTTGCTTTTCCTATCAAACTAATCTTTAACAAATCGTTAGAATCTGGGGTCTTTATTGACGACTGGAAACGGACGGATGTTACTCCAATTTACAAAAGTGGCAAAAAGGACGATGTTTCTCATTACAGGCCGATTTCTAAACTCTCGACTGTATCTAAACTTTTTGTAAGCATCATAAAGGAAAATATGTATTTTGCTACGAAGAGTATAATCTCTCCGCAGCATCATGGTTTTGTTACTGGTAAATCTGGCGTTTTCTGTTGGGAACCAAGTAGACTGTATCTGTACTGACTTCTCAAAAGCGTTCGACAAAGTATCGCATAAAATATTGTTAGCTAAGCTTGCATCTCTAGGTTTTCATTCCGTGTTCCTAGATTGGTTGCGATCATATTTAAGCAATAGACGTTGTGTAGTGACTGTTGATGGTGTCTCCTCTAGGTCCTTCACTGCATCCTCTGGAGTTCCACAGGGGCCCCTGCTCTTCGTATTGTTCATCAACAATATTAGTCGCTGTTTTACCTTCGCTAAATTTCTTTTATATGCCGACGACCTAGAAATATTTTCTGTTATTACCAACTCGGCTGACTCGCATAGACTTCAAGCCAATATTAATAATTTAACCAAGTGATGCCGTATTTCTCACCTTTTTTTAAATATCAAAAAATGCTTTAAGATCCACTTCTTTAAATTAGTCAATGCGTTGCCTACATGTTATTGCATATCTGATATTGTTCCCCAACATGTTGAGGAAATCAAAGATCTAGGCGTTGTTTTCGATTCGCGTTTTACGTTTTCAAATCAAATAGACTTTACTATCTCCAAATTGTATTCCGTCTTAGGTTTCATAAGAAGAAACAGATCAAACTTTTCCGATCCTTATACCTTCAAATTATTATTTACTGCTTTCGTTCGTTCTAGACTAGAATATGCTGCGTTTATTTGGAGGCCTTACTACCAATTCTCCATTGAAGGAATTGAACGTGTGCGAAAAGTTTTCTAAAGTTTGCTCTTTCTTGACTTCAAGTCCCGGTTGCGACTAATTAATCTTAAGCCTCTGGAAAGTAGAAGAGTGATTTTGTCTCTGTCCTTCATGTTTAAGTGTTATTAATGGGGAGATTGACTGCTCCGATCTGTTGCAAAGTATTAACTTTTCTGTTCCGACTCGACACTTACGTAATAACCATCCGTTTTATTTATGCAGATTCCGAACGAACTATGCGTACAATGCTCCTATTGCTCGTGCCCTTCGCGAACTAAACGAGAACTCTAACTCCACTGAACTTGATCTCTGTTTCTAAATCAAGTTTTTCGTCACAACTAAACTCTTACTTTACTTACTTTAGTTATAAATAGTTAGTAAGAACGTTTGTTTTTTGACTTTGAATGAATGAAATAAATGAAATTTCACACTTATTTCACAGAAAGAAATTGTATATGCAATTTTACAGCTTTTTCACGTGAAACAGGAAAAGAATACTATGCTTAAAACAAAAATGTAGGTTCGCATTCGATGCTTTAGATATTCCCGATTTTCAGCCAAAGAAATCTGGTCACCGTTATTATAAATGAAGTAGTTAATTAAGCCAATCAAAGCAAAATAAATTAAATCTTCCCCATTAAATTCCAAAATTTTAAAAGCTCCATTTCTGCCGCTTGGTGACACCCCTCCTTTTTTTATATTTGATTACTCGTTTTCAATTTAAAATTATTCGATTTTTCGCATATTACTTATTGTGTAGTAGGATCGAGTATTGGAGGGTTTTCCCAATAAGGCTCCCTCTATTATAAATACTATACCTGCATACTTGGGATATTGTAATGAGAATGTACCTGTAGCGACTGCAGCTTGTCCTCTAAATTAGTTAGTCGTTCTTCAATTGCATCTTGGCGACTCGACATATCCGAAATTATTTCATAAACTGTATTTTGAGTCTAACCAAAAAAATTAAGTATTGTTAGTAAATATACACACAAAATAGAATATGCTCATATCTGTGTATGTGTAAACCCATATTCTCTTCAAAAGTGTTTTAACTCGAAGTTCCCCGTCTATTATAAAATACAAAAGCAAGTTTTTTGCAGCTACTACTTCAGCAATTGCTAGGAGGTAAGTATAGTATATGACTAGTGCCCGTTTTTATTACATAGTTAATATCTAAAATAAAAAAACTTTTAGTTAATAAGTACACTTTTTACGAAACTAAATTTTTAGTTAATGCACTTTTGAAGAACGTGGGTCTTATGTGTATACAACTTACATATCGTTCAAAGTACAAAACTGCGTATCGTGGTTCTGCAAAACCTCGTAACTGACATTTGTGCCAAAAAAGAAAAAAAGATATTTGCTCACCGGAAGCTCCTGTCATCAAACCGTTATTGATTCATACTAAAATATTGATACTTTGACATAGGAAGAAGAGATAATTAGGGATAAACGAGAAACCCGTTTTGAAATAAGCCAAGTTTTACTCTCTCCTACAAAATTTGGGCAACCTCACATACGAAGTTTTGCATTTTCTTAATACGCGGTTTTGTACTTTAAACGACGATATGTGCATCTATACTTACCTTCGCCATATCTGTTATAGTGTTTGCGTTGTCCATTAGTTTTCGTTGGTCCATTTTAACCTTTCGTAACCTGATCGGCATTGAGAAAATTTTAAAATCCATTAGACGCAACAACAGATAGATTTTTTTTTTATTTTAAATCATGCTTAGCACGTTTAATAAAAAAAGAAAACTATTACAAAATTTCAACTTTGTGAGAAAACGTAGTCGAGAATGATCAATTCATAATGTTGGTATACAAAAAACAAAATTTTGGGGAGTTTAGTTATCTGTTGGACTGAGCATATATATTCCTTATCAAGCCTATTAGTTATATGTTAAAATCTCTAAAAATGTAAATTTTGAATTAATTCTCTGTATTATGAAACGTGCGATATATCAGCCGTCTTTGTTAATGAATCTTATATAAAAAGCATTAAAGCTTTAAATTTTGTAGCGCCTTTTATGGAACATATATCAAGGTCATTGTTTCTTTTTCCGAATAACAAGAGAAATGGTTATAAAAAGATATTGCTGCTTTTGAATACATTTTTCCTTTTCTTGTGAGGTTTTCATGCAACTAAATCTTTAGCATAATTTTTAGCATAAATAAGAAAACAAGTTTTCGATGTTCATAAGTCGCCCGCCTTATAATGATTTATATCAGAAGTTTTTTCATAGTAAAAATACTCTCGGAAGTTTGCCATTGCAGAGGGGCGAGCGCCGCTAAAAACCACTTTTTGAATCATTCTCGATTTTGCCCAGCTAGGCATGGAACCTGGAGGGCGTTTAAAATATGTATTTACATCTAAAAATTGGTTTTTCGCCCTAAACTTTTCAGTTGGAACCCTTTTTTTTATAGCAAATATCTTTCGCGATAGTTGATATTTGTATGTATATGCTAAAATTATCCATGCACCACGATTCTTTAGTGAAACAACTTTGTTCTTGAAAATTGCAGGAGGATAAAAAATACACATTCATTGATATCTTGGGGGAAAAAATCTTAAAAGAAATTGAAGTATATATCGTCCCCGTTATGCCAGAATTATGAATGTGCAAATTTACCAATTTTGAGTTGTTGGGTTGATCGGATTAACCTTTGGATGTTCTATGTTAATCACATATTTTGCAGCGTCAGTTACATGAATGTAACATGACTTATAAACAAAAGCTTTCAAATTTAATTTCCCAACATTTTAATTTTTACACATTCATGTGTCGATATTAACTTCCAAGAATTATAAAATTGTAAACCCATCTTTTTTTTTGGTTTGGTCGCTATTAGTCTAACTACGCTTCCGATACACCATTGGCTTGTCTAACGTTCAAATAACAAGCACATACAATTTTAATGGCATGAAAACGTCATTTGTAAGACAAGTTATGAAATATTAAGTAAAAAATTTAAATAAGTATGTGTACATCTACATCAAGCGTTTAAATTGCAAATTTTTGCTGGGCTTATTTTTTTATATGCATCTGCCCAGAATATGAAACCCAAAATCGGTGTTATTCACGAAATTGATATACATGTACTTATTTTACGATAAACTCTCCGATATCTACGTTCAAACACTTCCAGCATTAGGCTTTATAAATTTTTTTAATTTCGAATTTATTTTCGTAAGTATGTATGTATGTATGGAAGTACATAAGCAGGAATGTACACGCAAAATTTATAAAGAAGCTTTTGTTGAAAAATACGTAGCGATAGAAATAATTTCGTCGTTAAGATTGCAGAAAATCGTATCTCAATTTCATTATTGACCACTATAAGATTTTGGGTAACATGTTGTTGTAGTGTAGGTAAACTAATATTACGAGTGATATGTGTATAAACTTGATGTATTAATGGGGTTTGGCAGTGAAGAAGAAGTAGATACTTCTGCAATCTTAACACTAACGAAATCACGGATACTAATATTCAAAGTGAAAATTGGAGTTTACATTTTAGTGTAAGTCCACCAACAACACCGAAAAGCTTACACAGTTACACAGAATTCAGGTAATAAAAGGAGCGACAAACACACTTACATTCTGGTCAACAGCTAGCGGTAAGTGCATGCGGCGATTGTGATCAAATTGGATTTTGAGATACGAAATTCTAGAAAATTAACGACTTATGTAAATAATGTTGTCACTGGATTTATGCGACCTGGGTTAGCCCGCATAACAGTTGACAAACATATTCATTTATTTAATGTATTTTATACAATATGTAAACAGGGCTTTACAACCTAGTTACAGGCTAGTAAAACGAGTCGAGATGAGAGTTTTTTTAATGAGCCTATTTCGATAAGTGAAAGATTGGGATGTGATGCACTTGCCCTAAAGTTATGTTCTGAATAATCATGCACATACATGAATAGGTATGTGCGGAAAAGGCATTGAGTGAGGGTTAGATATATTTGAGAAAAAAGGCGGGAATAAAAAATTTCTTCTTCCTCCAGTCAAAATGGATGCATTTAGCAATTCATGCATGCAAACAAGCATTTTGGTTTGAAGTTTTAGTGGAAGTTCGCTTGAGGTAGTTATTGGGTGGGACTAAGTAAATTGCAAAGCAAAATGTTAAATATACTATATTATTTTATATGAAGTTTCCGTGAGGAAATTTTTAGATGTGACTGAGGTTATTGCTATGTACAATGTTTAATTTTGATCAACTGTTATGACTTTCACAGAGCACATTGCACAAAAACTGCGACAGGTTTCTCTAGAATACTCACGCATATATAGCTAGAAGGAACTTTCTTTGGTGGGTTCTTACACGTCCGGGATTAACCCGTTTTACTAGTCTTGTATGTTTGTAAATGAGCCAAGTTTCACGAAGAACATTTGCCGCTGCATTTTTCAGCTAAAATATGATGCAAGGAAGAAAAATATATGTATATTGGTTAAAACTAGTTATAGACAAATAATAAATAAATATTAGAAAATGTGCGTGAAATGAAACAATGCTCGTATTGAACTGACGTATACACCTACATTTAAATGAAACCATATGTGAAATTAACCATCTTAAATGTATGAATTCTTATCTCTGTAATTGTTCAAGGGTCTACATACCTCCTAAAATTCGCAAAAAATTAATTTTTCGTTTATCTGGTTTTTACTTTGTATTTTTCTACACATTTTGTTGCAATGATCTTTTCTAAAGTTTAATATGTTTTGTAATGTGTTCAGTGCGCATTCTAGCAAAATATAATCGAGAAAGTGTCAGCTACATAAAACCATACTTATTAACTAACTACTGGCCACAACTGCCTTCCCACAATTTTTAAAGTAAATTAGTTTATAAGTCAACACATTTTACACACGCCCTCCCCTCTCTCTGAGTTAATAACCTTTCAAATTATGTTATTTCATTTTACGAGATATTATAAATACATATACACTGCCGGAAAAAAGTATTGGCACATAGAATTTCTTACAATATATGTAACAATTTTTATTTTTTTTCGCGAATTGTTTATAAACCATGGTTCATTCTAGAACAAAAAACATTATATACTTTGCAGTGTTGCCACTTTGTGAGTAATTCCTCAAAACGTGAGGAATTTCGGGAGCGCTTGAGTATTTTTTGAGGATTTTTATTTTGAGGAATTTTCTCTCGATATATTTGCAGATAACAAATGCAACCATGTTTTACACAAGAGAGTTGTTAAATTGCTCTGCAAATTTTTGAACAAAAAACTTTCCGAAGTTTTATAAAGAGCGAAATACACCACACAAGCGGCTTGTCAAACATTCTTCAAACCTACTTTTCCCATTTCGCCATACACCGTGAAAACATGACTCGTTCAAGCAAAGAAGTTTATTTTTCTTCCGGTTCACCATGTAAAAGGGTTTAGATTTCTTTGATTTTTTTCTCTTGCGTCTTCATTCGGTAAAAATTCCGTTGCGAATGAGGCGATTTTAACATACACAACGTAAGCGGTTTGATCAAACGTCAACATGTCGGCCAGAAAATCAAAAAAATTTGATTTTTGTTCACATTTCAAATGGCTTGTTAAACCTTCAAAAACTCCCATACCATGATACAAATATTTAAAGGTAGTTTCACTTCTTCTTCTTAGCCGCCATTGCTCCCATTTGACGTAAACTGTGCTTTTGGCATTTTTTTTTTGAAATCGAGCTACCATATTCTTTGACAAAAGTAAAAAAGTGATTGATTACCTACTTCAAAAAGAAATATAATTATTTAAAATAAATTAAAGCTTTTAGCGATAGTGAGCATAAAACGGAAGGTAATTGAAATATTACATTGTATTCACATAAAATAAGCATTTACTGTTGTTAATTTTTTTATTGTTTTTTAGTAAGATGAGCTGCATATTTAGGAGCTGCAAAAATAACAGAAGAAATTGCGAAAAAACTAACATACAGTTTTTTCGACTGCCGGCGGTACCACAAATGCGGGAAAAGTGGATATCCGCGTGCATGGTAACTGAAAATGCGTTACCAAAAGTATTGTTTGTTTGTTCCGAGCACTTTCCCGCGAAAGATTTCAACCGGAGGAAAGGATGCGCCCAATTAGAGCGAAACGCGATACCAGTAGGAGTAGAGTGAGTATGCTTCCCTAGAACCCGAAATAAAGCAACATCCTAATTAGTTTCTTAAAGGACCAACTGCGTATAATATATCATGTAAAAGATAATGCTACATATTTGGTGTGCCTTACATTTATAGCAATTTAAATCAATACGCAGCTCTTTTAATACGAACAATCATGTAAGTATATTTACCTCCTGTGTTACAACTTTCTTTTTAATAAAATAAAAATTCATTAAAAAAATATTAAAATTTCCAAAATAATTATTTGATTAGGTGGCAGTGCTACCTCAAGAATTTACGAAAAGTAGAAACGTCAGTAAGCACAGTTTATGTCAAAACAATTAAAAGTGACACTACCTTCTTTTTTTGTATCATGTCCCATACACAACTTAAATAGCTTTATGCAAAGGGATATTTCGCTTGGTTTGTCAAGCCGCGTGTGTGGTGTTTTTCGCTCTTAAGCACTTTTGCATGTGTTGCTAAATATTCAAAATGTTATCAATAATTTTTTTCATTCCATCGTTATATTTTCAACTTATTTTGAACTAGCAAGATCTCGATAACGAATTGTACTATCATAAGGATATTCATATTGATTCTTCATTAAATCCAGAAAATTATAGGAAAAAAGTTCTTGAATTAAAAGATTCTTCAGGTTCATATAAGTTTCCCAATTAAAAAAATTATATCTGCATTACTAATATAGCCATTTTCTAATGCTACAGTAGAACGTATATTTAGTAGTTTTAAAATGTGTAGGACTGACTTGAGGACCAGATTGAGCACTGATATAGTTGCAGAAATATTATAGACGAACCAAGGAATAAAAAATAACGGTGATACTTTGTTTGAACCGCAAGAACAAATGTACCAATTGAATTGGAGAATGTAATTAATTTTTATGCAAGTACCTGTAAAAAGTAAATAAGAAAATTTTTAGTAATTTGTTCGGATTTTGAGGATTTTTCATTTGTTTTTGAGGAATTTGGTAATTTTTTTGTGGCAACACTGATACTTTGTGCAAAACTCGGGAAAATTCATTAAATTTTCTGCAAATTTTCAATTTTTTAATAAGATTTTTAAATTTTTTTAGTATGCAGTTTTGTAGCCCACAAATTTTATTATAATAAAGCGCTAGTTTGAACTAGCTAGGACTCACCGTTGATTTTTGAATTTTTTTTTTCACACAGTTTTTTACATTAAAAAAAAATTCGAAAATATTAGGGGTATTCAAGCGTTAATGCGGAATGCATTGCACCGGTGCGAAATTCGAAATGGCGAAAATTTATCAGTCATTGCATTTTACTCTTTACCTACGATAAGCAAATGCAATGACTGATGCGAGATTTTCGGCTGTTTGTTGTTGATAAAATTCAGCAATTTCACATTTCGCACCGTTGCAATTGCAGTTCTCATTAATGGCTGACATGTGGTTATCCATATAATTTACCATGAATAAATTCAAACCTCTACAAATTATATACATATTATATCTCCGAAGCCGATAAGTAAAATTATGATAAAAACTTGTAAAACAATCAACAGAATTATCCTTAAAACATGATAAAACATATTTCAATAACACTCATGAACTCGCTTTCGATATCGGAAAAGCAGGGCTGGAATCGTAACAGTCGTGAACAAGCAACTCGTAACGTAAAAATGTCGAATTAAGAGACGATCAGTACGTTCACAACTGTAATCCGAAATATGGTGGTTTCCATCGGAAGGTCTACCGCGATAAAAAAATAAATAAAAGTCATATATCTAATGTATTTATAGGCCAATTTGTCTGCTTTTTTAAATATATATATTGCCTATGTAAGTAGAAAAATGTTTGCGAAAAATGGTCTTGTTAAGCGGCGCCAGGGTCGAGATATTTTGAAAAACCGTATTTATGGTACGATTTGGTTTGAATTTGGCATATCGACGGCTGAGTTGAAGATCGACCTATCTCGGTAGCCAGTTCGAAAACGCCCTACCCCAGAAAATATGTCAAGAACGTCCTACTTCGGAATTTGATTGAAGAATGCCATGTTTCAGAATTTTATTGAAAAACACCCTATCTCAGAATTCTGTTCGAAAATGCCCTATCTCAGCTGAAGATACATTGAAAATGTGCTGAGATAGGGCGTTTTTTAATCAAATTCTAAAATAGGGCGTTCTTTGACCAAAGCCAAAATATAAAATGTATTTGACATAAAATGCATGTTATATTTGCATTAAAAAGCAATTTAAAAGCAATATTAACAAAAATATAACGACGGAAATTTATGTCACGTCACGCCACGTGACGTCACGTTTCACACTTGGGGTTGTAAAAGAAAATTTAAACAAGTTGCATTAATTCAAAAATATCTAAAAAACAACTAAAATTACTCCAAATGATAATAAAACAAGTTTCATAAAAAGAGCCATCCACAATTCACACAGTTTTGCGATTTTGTAAGAAAAGAAATATGGAAATACCAAAATGCATTTTTACGTGACGAGTTGCTCATTCAAGACTGCCAGACTTGGCAATATTTCCAACTTTTCCACGCGGTTCGCCGTCAAATTGAGAAAGAGAAATATTATTTCGATGTGTGGACACCCTTTCACATTTCGGAAATAAGTTTCAGAAATAAAAGTTGCAAGATGTGACTGCAATTAGGAGAGCGCAAATCGATTTCAGAAATATATTTCAACTTTTTCGTGCTGCACTAGCAATCTGCAATTCGCCCTTCGGAAATAAAAAACCTCTTTCGAAAGACACTTCACATGCAAGGTGTGACTGCAACTGCTTTCTAAAAAGTCTCAAGTTGATAGCCTTTTAGAAATAGGCGTGTTTTTTTTACACGCATACGTATCTGCGCTTAAAAATTTTATGGAGCTGTAAGCGACAAACTTTATGTGTGCTTATGAATAGTTGTCGATAAAATCAAAATTACTTGTTTTGAAATGGAAATTGTCGATGATTGTTATTTTACACGTTAAGCGTAGATGTATATGCGTGTAAAAAAAAAAACACGGCTAATATATTGCATTGCCACGTCATTTTTTTCGGAAAATTAAACACTGAGTTGCTGTACGCAACCACTGAGAGCAGTTAGGAACACACTGTTAAACATACGTGATGTGGTATTTTGTTAAGTCTCTGCTGATATAATTTTTACTTAACCCTCCGTAAGTCTGGAGAACAGAATAACGTCGTGAGCCTGGTGGGGCCCGAAAATGGGACGCTCCGTTTTACAGCCTATTAAAAACGGATTGTTGTCTTATTAGTAAATCTATAATCGGCGAAAATATTGCGTTGATTTT